TGTGTTTGTATTGTTATTAGACATCATGTAAATGGAGAATGTGCATTTGAGCTGTTCTGCATTTTTTCCCAAGTACAACTGCAGTGGTGAACCTTCATCTGTTTTCCAATCACTCGTTCACAGGTGTTGAGGTTAGGGAATGGGTAACGAGCAGTGGAGAAGGCTCTGGGAGCAAAGTTACTTCCATGGTTTCCAGATGAAGAGGTTTAGAAGGGCAGATGAGTCCAGTGAGTACAGCTAGAAGCTCTCAGTCTGTTTGCCTAGGCTGATGCTAAAATGAGGGGTGGTTTACCTGAGCCTTAAGTCATGAAAAATACCTGCTGTGGGTGAAGCAATGATGAGTAATGGTCTTTAGATTAAATCTCAGGACACCAATTCCTAGATGACTCACAGCTAACGTTAGTTGTGCACAGTCAGTGGCCACCTTCAGTAGTGACTCCTGCACTGGAGCTGCAGCCTTGCCCTTTCAGCCCCGTGTGCTGCTCCCATCTCTGTGTGTTCACAGGTAGATGTTCCTGTCCTGCATTTTCCCTCTGAGTAAGCACTCACGTTGGAGATGCTTTTCGCACAGGAAAGATGTGCTGGGATGTCCCATGTTCACAGAGCTGGGGAGGGCAACATAAATGTTCTTCCCTCTGCTACAAATTGTGGGGTGGGAGGGATTGCTTCCCTGTCTGAGCTCCATGATCTGCATCCTGTTTTTCTGGTTTAGGACCTGCAGGATACACAAAGTGCTAACAACTTGATTTACTGTTCCCATGCACCCAGATACAGTTATTCACCCGGCACAAAGTGGGTGTAACACCTTGTGAAGTTGGGCATTTCACTGTGGACCACATGCAAAGCCATGGGAAATGTTTGTTTACATGACAAAGCCTTGGAGGATCAAGCTTCAGATGAGGAATGGATGCTAAACAGAAATCAGAGTGATGCCTTTTATGCAAACAAAACCTCTTCTGTCCTAAGGTGATATTGCTTCACCATAGCATGAATTTTAGGCATAATTGGGATTTAAGTAATTTTTACACTAGCAGAACATCAGCAGCAGCCTTTACATACACTAGACAAAATGTCAGAAGATTTTCAGATGGGCAAAGTTTGGAATGGCTGGTTTAGAGAAGCTTTTATTAACTTGAAATTTAAAAGATAGTAAATTCTCAGTTGGTAGAATCTTTTCTCATCGTGTAAAGTCAGCTAAACCTGTTGAAAATAATTTAGACTTTTTTTTCTTGACATGATAGATGATACATACATTAGGTAATTGAAATCATGCACGCTCCAGGGAGATAAAACCTCGCCTTTCCCATTTGCAGTGAGGCAGGATTGAACCTGTCTAAAACTATTTCATGTAGAGGGAGAATAAAGCAGGAAATGAATTATGGTTTTATTTGAGTTGAAGGATTAGTTGAGGGATAAGAGTGAACAACGAAACAACTTGGGCACAAGGCTGCCGTCTCTTAAACAGTTTTATTAGCTTATGCTGATTTGTGAATTAGGAAAACCAAATTATGTCATGCAAGAGAGCAAGGGATGACAATTAAAAACCTGCAGGAAAGGACTAGTAAAACGGTAATCTCTCACTGCCTGATCTTCAAAACAAAATGGGAGAGCATGACCTTTTCTTGGAATAAATACAGGATATTGCACGTAGCCAACTTCTGGTTTTCAGGTTTTGCCAATTTGCAGTTGCTCTCTTGTACTACAGTCCTTATTTGTTGATTGCCCTAGGGTCCAATTTTAGTCTCAAAATACTCCCGAGAAGTACTTCCATGTTCTTTGATTTGAGATCTGTTCATGTCTCAATTACCCTTCTAATCTGTCAGCACAGTGTCCTTTTTAGCTCTCAAAGACGGGGCTATGCTGTGATATTTGAGTAACCGTAATGCTGTGGGACCATGAGAAACAGCTTCCTTGGTAACGCTTCCCATTTATAGCGGAGATGTGATCGGTAACCGTGTACGTGTTAATGATTTGTTATCATGTTGAAGGTTCAGTCACAAAGTCTGGTTAAGACCTAATTGGACTGCAAACCAGCTTCTCTGGTCCATCCAAGTTATGGCTGTTTTACATGTTCCATGAAGAGCATGTCATCAGAGCCCATCAGATCTGCATAGTGAAAAGATTGTCCCAATTAGGGACTGAGTGCTCTGCTCTTCAGGTGAGGGTTGTGCTTCAAGAAGCAGCATCTCCATGCAGCCTGAATTTTGTGCTATGCTATCTTTAAATCTTAAGCATAAAAGTGCTTGGGAACATTTGCAAGCAGACATGACTTGGCTCTCAGAGTGAAGTGCCTATGGGAAAGGTCAACTGAGCAAGTTGTAGCAAATTAAACTAGCTTGTGAATTTATAGTGCATAATCTGCTCCACAATAACTGGCTGTGTGCATGGTACAAAGGCACCCTGTGGTAAACACTAGGTCTCTTGCCCCTGTTTTTGCCTGGGGTGTAAACAACCTTGCTTTATGTCATCTTTCCTGTGAAATGTGAGTGTGGGGAGAAGGTATCTGCCCCAGAGTACCACCACTGCCCTGTGTTGCACAGGTGCTGCTTGTGGCCTGTTCCTGTGTCCCTGCACTGGGGTCTGCAAGCCACGTTCCAGGCTGACAGCAAGGTCCCTGCACAGCTAGCAAGCAGCCTCGCTGCTGACTCAGTGATCAAAGCCCTGGTTTGGGCAGTGGGAGCCTTGCTAACTTGAACAGAATCAAAATCCTAACCCACTTGTGGAAGTTAGTGGAAGGACTTAGTCACTGAGTGTGGTGGGTGTCAGCCCAGGGTTACACACAGCTGACTCGCCAGGGAGACTCACAGGAGTCTATCCAAGCAGGAGTTTGCAAGGAGTAAATGTCCCTGCTCTTACTAGAAATAATTGGAAGCCATCTATTTTTGTTGGAAAAGTTAAATATTTTCTCACAGGCATTTGAAGGTTCCCCTGAATGCTGATTGACAAGAGATAAGGATTAAAAACTGCAATTTTGAGGGTTGCCAAATTATTGGGGGAAAAAACCCATAAATAATTTGCAAATCCTGAAATCTTTAATTTTAACACTTAGAAGCAAAATGGTTTAAGTATTTTGAGCTGAGATGGAGGTTTTTTAATTGTGAGATTCTCATAATTTAAAGAAAAAAAATAAATGGCTTGAAAATAAATTGGTTTGGTTTTAAGCAAATTTCCAAGGGTTTTTTTTTTAAATAGCTCTGTGTTATTTTTCTCTCTTTGGCCTGCTTTCTAAAGTTAAAAATCTTATGAGACCATGTCTGATGGTGTGTTTCTCTGTCAGATAAACAGCGGAGTCCCACTTCAGTAGAGCAGAGAAGTTGTTGACCAAAGTCTTGGAAGTATAGACAGGGCCTGGGTATCTGAAGGCTCTTGAGGTAGCGGTACCTCTGTCACACAGGAGTTTTAGCTTCTGAGAAACTCCCGTGTCTTAAACTGGGAAGATTTTTGTAACAGGTATCTTGCATTGCTACAGTCCATCAGGGAGAGGTCAAAGACACCTGTACCTTGAGACTAGTGGTCACTGTCATCATCACTGCCAGGTGCCTGCTCAAGTCCCAACCAGCTGGATGCTGTTTACAGATGCTGCTCCATGAGGGCGTATCCTTAGCCAGTAAATCCAGGAGTAGTCTTACACCAAAACTGGGTCAGCTGGGCAGATACTGCTTTGGGCTTTGGAAGATTTTGTTCTTGTTTCTTTGTATGTTCAACTAAAACAGTCATAGGTGTAAACTTCTCTTGAATAGCAATTTATTTATCATTGCATTGTCTTCCTTCTGCTCTTCACCCATGTACTGCACTTGTCCATCTGTCTGACTTGTTTCCTGCCTTCATGTAGTGTGAGATTCATCTGCATTCATATGTAGCCATCTAATCTGAGCTCAGTGTCTAGACTCACTTTATGGAGAGAGCCAGACCTTTCTAGAGAGTGAATCATTCTGTCCTAAACCAGATGCTTGATAGGTCAAATGAATAATTTTCTGGATTGCCTTGTTTCCTCCAACAACTGAAGAAAATTTGCACTGTCTAAGGTATAGAGTTTGGTCCTGCACTTGTTTTTGATTTGAGGACATGGATTCTACCATGAGGGATAAACCATACCATTGTACCATAATGGGATCCATGTGCACAAATCCTGAAGTGATGTGTGAAATGTTTAAGGAGGTAGGAAATGTTGGTGGCACATAGTAAAATTAAGAATTTGGGAAGCACAAGGAGATCATGGGAACCTGGCTCAAGGAAAAAATGTTCAATTTGGGGTCTGTGGAAATATACACTTCATTTTAAGTATTCTGTGTGGGGTTCACATAAAAATGAAACCCAGCAGTTTCCTCAGACCCCAGTAAAAACGTTGAGGATAGTCTGATACCTTGTGTAGTAGATAAAAAAAAATAAATTAAGAGTTGGTCTGCACTTAAATTTTGTCCAAAAAAATCATTGAAAGAACCACACAATGTTAAAAATCGTGAATATGAAAAATACTTTCTACTGAGAAACAGAGAGGACGTATGTGTATGTATGTATTTTTGGATTCAGTACTCCTCTGTTATAATATTGCAGATAACCATGGAAATAGATAGGTGTTTGAATTTCCTTGGAGGAGTTCATTGAGAACAAAAATCTTCCTGTGTGGATCTCTCTGCACATTATGGACTTTGTTTGCAGATGCTTTTCTAAAGAGCAACTCCAAATAGTTTTTTCTTTCTCGTGTTACAACGACAGAAATATCCAAGAATTATTTTAATTTTGTGTCTGCTTCAGCAATTCTGAACTGGGTTTTAATTTTTTGTGATAATATGTTCAGGGCAAATGACTCTTCCTAGCCTAGATCAGTGTTTGCCATACACTCACTTTGTTCTAGAATCTCCATCTTGGAAGCTCATTAAAAATGCATTTGCTTCAAGGAGATGTAGGAGTCAATTGTTCATTTGCTAAACAACTCTGTGGATTTTCCTCTTTTTGTTCCTTGCTTTCCTTTCTTACTTGGTTTTGCATTTGTTTTACAGCTCTACCTTACTTTATTTGAAAGAGGAAAGCCAGTGAGGACCTGTGAACAATCCAACAGCTTCTGAAAAATCTTCATGCTAAAGGATAATCCAGAATTCCCTGAAGAAGAGCAAAGTGAATGTTGTGAGTTCCTAGCAGTGATAACAAACACTTCTAATTGTGTCTTTTGGGAGGTAGTATCTTCCCTGTGATGCACTGAGCACCAAAAACTTGAATTTCTCTCCCTCTTAATTTTTTTATTCTTTTAATGGGTTTAAGGGAATACTAATATTATCTGAGGAAAGATGGTGGGTTTCTTTTCCTTGGACTGCTACAGTTATTTGTCATACTGCTATTGCTTTTTACTTAAATATGCGAGCCTGCATTGGAAGGCCATGTGACTGTGTAGCCTAACAAGAATGAAAAATACTATGGATAACAGTCCATGAATCTACAGGTTGGATTCAGGAATTTTATGCATGCTTGCACAGTGGTTGAAGTTATTTGACCACTTTCAAATTAGAGGAATGCAAATGTAGTTATTTCTGTAGTTATTTCTGGTATTCGAATCTCCTGATGGTCAGTTTTTCATATTAGTTTATTTCCAGTACAAATGCTCCTCTCAGAGGTTTGTGTTCTTGGGAACTGGAGTAGCACACCTTTCCAAGGGAAACGCAGCCATTCAACTGAGACCTTGATTAAACTGTGGTATTAATAAAAAAAAAAAATGTTCCCATGAGAGATGGCTAAAGAGAAAGCATGAATATTTTTATGTTAATTGTTTTTTCTTATGAAGCCCACTGCTTTTCTGGGTTGAAATGGGCAAACATGCAGATCAAATGTAAACATTCTCACAAAAAGAGGAAAACAAGAGTTCTCTGCCTGCCAGGTTTTAGAATAATCCTTATTTTTTTCTTAAGAAAGAACCATGGGGATTTCCAAGTTAGGCAAGTTAGTATTTAATTCTTATGCCCAGAGTATGCAGTGGTCCTTCAAGATGTTAGTAGTGATAAAACAAGCTGCAGATTCTTCCAGTTGGAGCAAATTAGTTTGTACACTTTCCATTAATGTAGTAAAAATAAATATATTTTCTGGCCTGCCTTCTAGCTCCCTCAGAGTTGGATGCCCTCCTTTGCTCTGCTTTTCCCTTTGGGTTCTGGCTTTGGGAAGCAGATTGAGACAGAGTAAAAGTGGTGCTGCTTTCCCAAGAACCAGTTGCAAAATAAATATTAGAGAAGACACTGAAATTTTTTGTCATCTCTTGCCATTCCCACCTGCTTTGATCTACAGTGAAATAGTTAACAAAGCAAACATCTGGAATTTTTACTTACTAGTTCCCACTAAGCTGCCAAGTTAGTAGCTCATTAAGATGAATAAGGGGCCTCTGAGATGTGGAGCCTCTCACTGTTCATGTACCCAAGCAGGCATATTCCCACACTTCAAAAAGCTTCTTTATAACCACAAGAACTTACTTTGCATGCTGGCATCCTAGAACAGGAAAGGACAGCCTTAAATAATAATAATAATAATAATAATAATAATAATAATAATAATAATAATAATAGTAGTTTGTTTAAGATGTTGCAATCACCTCTACTGATTGCAACAGAACAGCAGCACCACCTCACATGAAGGAGAGCATCCCCTGGGTCCTGTAAGGTATGTGGTGTGCCAGATCAGCCAGGTAAACTGAAGGAGGCAATCATCAGCCACTGCAGGGGATGGAACATCTGTTGAAGATGCCATCAGTGTGATCATTACATTTTGCCCTGTCCTAAATGGTTTAAAATCAGCCCTCTTAAAGCACACTGTGATGTTCTGCTATTGTTGGTGCCAAAACCCTGATTATACTCAGGAGGCCTGGGTTAGTGCAGAAAAAGCAGCACTCTTCTCACCAGGTATGGATGGGAAAAAGTGTTCTTAAGAAATGCTCTTACCCTGGCATCCAGGACTGGTTCCTTTTGAGGAATCATTTGTAGGTCATGGAGAGATTTTTAGCAGTTCCTTGAGAGCGTATTTCATTACCTGGCTTCTGCTTGGAGGACACTGCTGCAAGAAGGAGGCAGTTAGCTAGGCTCCTCCTCTCCTCTTTCCTTTTACCTCTTAGGGAGGCAAGAATACCAGAGGTGAGGAGGTACAGTGTTTCTCCTGAAAGGAAATACTGGCATACAGTGAATTTACTTAAAAATATTCCTCTCTATTCCCTGTTTGCAGGGTGTTGTCATGTTACGATGTGGGGAAAATGATCAAACCTTTCCCACTGCAAGTAGTAGCTGTTCTCTTCCCTTCTGCTGTCTCCTTTTGCCACCCAGGCAAATTTCAGAGGAAGGGGGGTGTGAGGAGGGAGGAGTGCAGTAAATTGAGACCAGTGTCTTGCATCCACCTAGAAACTGCCTGTTTACTAAACAGTACAAATTTCTCGCTTCCTTTTTCCTGCTCTCTTCATTTGGATGAAATGCATTTCTGGAACAGCAGTGCTTGTACAAATCAAGTCCATATTCCAGTTCTGGGGAGAGAAAAAGGGATGTCAGGAGGGTCCATTAAGGAGGAACGTTTATTTTAGTAAGGGTGAAAATGAGGCAAGACAAGGCTCCTTTGCTCTTGCTGGAGGGTACCTTGTGTATTCCAGCATACGGTTTTGTAATTTTCTGGTAGGATGTAGGTATCCTGAGGTTTTTTTTTTTTCCATCCTGAAAACATATGCCACAGCTTTTTTGGAGTGCTAGCCACACAAACACATTCTAACAGGAGCAATGAATAAACTCTTCATGTTCCTCACTTGTAGGCATTTCTTCACATTATTTTTTTTTCTGTGCTTATGCGAAAACCTCTGGCACGGTTTGTGGGAAATGGAAAATAAATCTCTAAATCCAGTATGTGTCAATAACAGAAACGTGTTTAGTTGATCTATAACTGTTATTTTGGGCAAACTGCAGATGGTAGGATAGTAAACATCCCCACTTCTAGCCCAGACAGGCTTTCTATGCCCTGCCTTCAGTGGGGAACCTGCTGCTTCTGAAGAAGGTCCTGGGGGGGACCATGGTTACGCATGGCTTAGCCCCAGTTCCATCCCATTTTTGAGCTGCTGCCTTCTCTTTCTGTTCCTTGGCCCTCCTTGCTTCCTTTACCCTGGGTCCTATCTCCCGTGTACTCCCCCCCGGGCTGCCGGCTGTTTTTCCTGGCACGTGGAGCTGCGACGGGTCTGGGAGCGACAGCTCCTGGAGCTGATGTCAGTGCTGCTTCCTGAGCTGCCTGGCCAGGCTGGCTGCAGCCCAGGCACACCCTCTCCCCAGAGCATCACCTTCTCCGCCTGCCCGTCCTGCTGCTGCAGCAGCCCCTCGGGGAGGAGGCTTGTGCAAGTGATGGAAATTGAAGGTTAGCGAGCCTTTTGTGGCGGTTTTCTGTGAGCAGCCATCTCCCACGCCTGGAGCCTCAACACCGGGTTTGTGGTGTGGTTGGAGGTGATGCCTGGTTTCTGTTCTGAGCTGTACACACCTTGGAAGAGCTACGGGAAGCTTTGACACATGCAGGCTTCATGATTCTGGATGTCTCTTCTTTCGTGTCACTTTGGTATCCATGTGCTAAATCACCCCATGGTTTTCTATGGAAATTACCAGGCTGCTGAGAAAAGAGCAGAGCTGCATGTGTCCGTTCTTCCAAACAACAGCCCAGTACATGCCACTCGGTATTTATAGTGAGAGGGAAAAAGGGAAGAATTGCTTTAATTTGAGAAATGTCTCTCAGAAACAGCAGTAATTTATTCCTAGGCATTATTCTTCATTAAGAGCTACAGACAGCTGCAGCTTCCCTTTAAATAGAAATTGCTCTCTGCAGGCATGCTATACATAGGGCTTCAGGTTTCTGCCATTTCTCTGCCAAAAAAATCAGAAGTATTTCTCACCAAATAAATGTTTATTCAGAAAGTCGTATTTCCTGGCTTTTATTTCACATCACAGGCTTCCGGCAGCCAGGCGAGAACAGCTCAAGGCTGTCGTTTGGGAGAGGAAGCTGAAACAGTTTGAGTCTCTTGTGGGGCTTCAAAAAAAAGTCTCTGACCATAACTCTGGGCCTTCAGTTTGGCAGTTTACTTTAGCTGTTGAACATTGGATTAAAATGGATGCTGCATGGCAATGCAGAAATCCTGCATGGCAAGCGTGCCCGTGCAGATGCAAAGTGAGTGGTGGTGGTGGGCGTTTCTCTGCATCAGGTCAGCTCATCTCCTCTCTCGACCTTGAAGACACAGCCATCCTCAGACTGCATGGGTGACGAACTGGCTTTGGCAGCTGGCAGCAGCTGAGCTGTTTTGTTGTTGGGGAATCCCCTGTATGATCAGTGTATGGACACACAGGGGCAGCAGGCAAGAGCTGGGCCCTGCCTGCTTGCACCTGCCACCCAGCAGAGAGGCTTCAAGTCCTGCAGAATGACATGCAAGCGATGAAGCTGTAAGCCACCAGTGCTCCAGAGGACCAAATACCTTTTTTTATTCACATCTGTGCTGCTTCCTTGGATTTACCTTTCTCTTCTCCACATTCCTGCTGGCTGGCTCTTCAACTAATGATTTCCTAAGCTGCCTTTTTCTCACTGTCTTTTCTAGCCTGAACTGCTGAGCTTCCTCTTGTGTCTCCAGGGCTTATCTGCTGGACCCATACTTTCCATTGAGTGTGCCAGCCCCTACCACTCCAGTAGATGACTTAGCTGTTGTACCAGCAACCCAGCTGGTTTTTTTTTGTGGCTATGGTGTTCCTGTCAATACATAATGTTTTCTTTCTTCATGTCTCCTCCCAGTTCTCACTGCAATCCTAAGTTTATGGCTTATAGTATGCAATCCATGTATTAAAATATTTTTAGTGAGGTCATTCATTACTCACTTGCTTTCTTCTTGTCCAGTATATGTTCCAGAGAAGTGAGAAGCTATAATTTCTCCAGGTCTAAAATCCAAGTCTTTGATATGCAGGCATGACGCCTGAGGCCACTACATGTTTCTACTGGTTGTCAGCTTTGTAAAACTTACCCTGCAGAGCAAAGAAATCTGGGCACAAAGATTGTTCTCTTCTCTACCATGGCAAGCTGTAGTTTTCCAGTCTGTTCTGCCTTCCCTTCATTGTCTTCCAAGCAAATGGCTGTAAGATTACGACTCCCATGTT